ATTTGGTTATCATAGGAAATAGTTAGGTGTGATGGTGCGACTTGAATGAAATTTATGATGCAAATCCTGTGTGTATGATAATTTGGTTATCATAGGAAATAGTTTCTGAAGATGTAATTCAAAACTTATAACAAAAAATATTGCAATGTCATGCACAATTGTGAGCCTGGTCACAAGAAGAAAAAAAAAACACCATCAATCAAGTGCCATTGACGTAAAGATGTGATTGGTTTATTTTTGACAAATCTGACAGCTTACCAAATTGTAATTGAACATAAGCATTTGTGTAGGTAAGCCCTAATTATTAAAAGGAGGGCATGAAAAGGTGCAAATACAAACTATACTAAGACTGTGCCAGTACAAGAGGAAACAAAACAACAGAGCTACCTCCACGTTATTTCATCATTTTCTGTGGTGACAAATGATGATTTTAAACCTTTAACATTTTATGAAGATTTTCTTCTTTATTAGAAGAACTCTTAAATATTGTGCTAAAGATTCCTTCCTTTCATGTTTGGCACAGGAAGCCTATTTGCCCGCTGTAGTGTTGGTGATAATTATGCAGAAGCTGAATTAAGATGGGGTGTGCAAAATAATGATTCAAAGTTTACGCAAGGTATGATCCCTATTTTGCTCAATTTCCATACTTATTTTTAAGGTAGCTCCTCTAGGGGTACTATTGAGAGGGGATTATTAAAACGACCAATCACTCTTAAAATGTAAAAGTGATAAAAATCGCAGTGAAATAAAAACAAAAAAGTTATTGTTATAGCTCAATTTTAGGATTTGTTATCTGTTCTCTCTACTTTTCCTTTAGTGCCGAAAAAGAGAATTTGTTTAAAAATGAGTGTTTCTTAAGTTGGTGTTTCGTTCATCAAAAGCCAGTAATTCTCGGTTTTCACTCACGTGACCAATGCCCTGACAACCGTTGCTATCCGCCATGTTGGTGTACAAACAAACACAGTTGTGAAGAAGTAAGTCGTGATGGTTCTGTGCTTATTCGTGGATTGCCATTCAAGAAGCGGGCGAGATAAAGATATTTCCTTCTTTAGAGTGCCTTCAATTGTCACTAATCATGGCGAGGAAGCCGAGGAGCTCTCCTTAGAGCGACGAACGCAGTGGATAGCTGCTATAAGCAGAGATGACTTGACGGAGCAAATCCTAAAAAATGACCGTGTTTGTAGCCGTCATTTCGTCTCAGGTCAGCCAGCAAAAGACTTTGATAAGTTCAATATTGATTGGGTGCCAACGCTAAATCTGGGACATTCAAAGAGAGATAAGAAAGGTAGCAGTAAAGCAGACCAGGATCGGGCGGAGCGAGCTAAAGGTAGACGAAAGAAGAAGTTGAACGAGACAAAAGCAGAAATCGAGGAGAAGAAACTCCGCTTGAATGATGAAGGAACTCAAGCTTGCAATATATCCTTTATAACTTTAAGCAGTGATCAGGGTTTATCAAAAGAAGAAATTCAGGAAACAGGGGAAATTGATGTGTCGTTCGCCGATCAAAGCATTGCTGAAAATGAGAAAAGTTGTCAGACCGAAGCCAAAAGTTTTGGCGACATGTGTACTCAGACTGACGTTTTACGGCGAAAACTTTATAATGCAAGCTCACAGACAGAGGACTTCGATTATCTGTTTACGTCAAATAAGAGAATCGTCGAATTTAACGAAGAGTTTTTCCGGAATAGCGACGATAAAGTACTGTTTTACACTGGTCTCCCCTCATATGAAATTCTGAACTTTGTGTTTGAACTCGTGTCACCGTCTGCACCTCGCCGTTCTCAATCGCTGAGTCCTTTTCAAGAACTTGTTATGGTCCTGATTAAATTGAGATTGGATGTACCGTTTCAAGACCTAGCTTATCGCTTTAACATCTCAGTTCCCACAGTCTCCAGGACATTTCATTCGTGGTTGATGACTATGGACATAAGGTTATCCCCATTAATCCATTGGCCTGATCGTGAAAGTCTCATAAGTACAATGCCACAATGCTTCAAGTTCAGCTTTGGAACGAAAACTACAGTAATAATTGACTGCTTTGAAATTTTTATTGAAAAACCCACTAATTTACTTGCCAGAGCCCAAACATTCAGTTCCTACAAGCACCACAACACCATCAAGGTGCTGATTGGTATCACCCCACAAGGTACCATTTCATATGTTTCTGAGGCTTGGGGTGGTCGTACTTCGGACAAATTTTTGACTGAAAACTGTGGGATATTGAGTAAGTTGGTTCCTGGGGACATGGTGATGGCTGATCGTGGCTTCACTATACACGAGAGTGTTGCCTTCAAGAGGGCAAAACTAGTAATTCCAGCATTTACGAAAGGCAAGGATCAACTTGACCCAGTTGATGTTGAAACAACCAGGGGTATTGCCTGTGTCCGCATCCATGTGGAAAGAGTCATAGGTCTTTTACGTAGCAAGTACACAATACTACAAGGGACACTTCCCACTGATTTTTTAATGAGCAATCCTCATGGATCTCTGGAAGAAAGAATCCCTGCAATTGATCGAGCAATTAAGGTTTGTTCTGCTCTTGTTAATTTGTGTCCCCCAATAATACCGTTTGATTAGGCTAATCCAATTTATTATTCATAGATAAAGAACCAGTCAAACTCTAGAATATTGCATTCAATTTTCGGGTTTGTCAATAAAATGTTCAGAAGGGGAAAACTTCTCAAAACTGGGGTGCATTGTTTTTGTTCGACAGTTTGAGATGGACCATGAGTTTCAGTAGCTTTACACTATAATATAAAATTAGACATTACTTTTGACATAGTTAGTGCTTATATGTCACTTTAATGTTTGTAATCCTTACCTACTATATTGTTGCTGTTTGCATTTTTAGCCCTAAATTAGTTTCACTTTATAGAATGTACAGAGAAGTTCCATTAGAAAGTTATTATCATTGTTTCATTGGAAAATTTTNGGAAATGTTCACATTATTTACTTTATAGAGCTTTTCCTTGCAGCTGTTACAAATCCATGTGCTTTTGCTGTTATTTGGCATCCTTTTGTATTTTAGGCAATGTAAATGAAAAAATTTTCCATTTAAACATTCTTCACTGTGACATTGAAGAAGTCTATCACCTGGTCTTGGCTTTGAATTACAAATACAGACACTATCCAGGCTGAGAGCTTTTTTACATATATCCTGCTCTATTGCATTTCTGGTTTTAGCATTGCTCTTGAAATCTGGTAAGAGACGACAGGTAGGACAATACCATTTCTTTGGAACTTGATCACTTGATCTCAGACATGACAGGTGAAACTTCAGATAGGGACACTTAGGATTAGAGCAAGTGATGGTTTGTTCTCCAGTAGCTTTTCTGCAATAACAGATCATATTATCATTGCCTGATACTGGAACTTGCACCAGACTTGGTGTGTGGTATTTTCTTGTATACCACCTACCTAAAATTTCGGGTAGGATACAAATCCTCCAAAACTTGGTCAATTTTGGTTGTAGCAATTCCCACAAGTTGAAATCAGGATATATTCTTTCCTGAAAAATCATGGGTTGATTGTTTACATTGAATGCAAACACTACAAAGTCACAGTATTTTAGCTTAGTTATGTTGAGCTGCTGTTGGACCTGATAATAGTACTGATGATTTTTCTTCAACCTTAACTCACCATTCACTTTTTCGAGACAGGAGGTCTTCTTTGAGATGTAGGTCTCAAAATCACCATTCTCTATACCATAAGGACATTTAACCTCCCCGCAACCATCACCACAACAGGAACAAGAGGCCATGAAGTCAGGAGTAGCATGTAACCAGGGATGTTCTTTATCTACAAGCATTCCACAATACTTTACTTGAAAATCTTTATGGGTCTGACTCATAAGAAAAACATAGCTCTCAACAGCACTTTTCTCATATTTCTTGCCATGCGTGATAGCTTTAGAGGTAACTTTGAACAAGTGAGGGTAGCAAAGAGACTTGATCAAAGATTGTGATGGCTGCATTGGATTACTGTGTGCCACTGCCCAACAAACTGAAGCCCCGATGCGGCCAGCTCTGTGTCTAAAGAAAAGATTACTCTTGGATTGCTTCCTTGTGTCTGCTTCAATGGCATCCAATTCACTATCAGTAAGGTCTAACTTGACCTCAAAACATTGTTTTAGAAGATCTGGGTAGCTGAGGTTGAGATTACTCGGGTCATACAAATCTGGCATTGTAACTATGTTTTGGCTTCTTGATATAAACCTTTCACTGTAGGGCTTGAAAAGACTAAGGATGACTGGTTTTACATTCAAGTCATTTAACTTCTTTAACTGAGCATTCATTTCCTCCTCATCAAGTGGTCTCACTGACATGTTTGATGCTTTAATATTTCTTGCTGGAGCTGGTGTTTCAGACTGATTATCATCCACGCAAGCATCTATTTTAAGGTCCATCTCTTCCTTTAATTTTTTCGCTGATTTAAAATTGATGTCTCGAGCTCTGGCGTAAGGAACTTCGTTCACGTACGTTGGCAAAAGCCACGTGCACTTGACTTGGGTGCAGGCCAATTTTCCATGGATCCTTGTCCATGCTTCGATATAAAATAGCACGCTTGCAACGTGGGAACATGTTTCTGCTAAACCAGCCTTACAACCCATGCAATGGGCCGAAATGATTGTTCCTTCCTGGCTTGCAATCACCCAAATAGGGATCAGCGGGTCATTCATGCGCTGCGAATGTCGCACTTTTGCAAGAACCACGTACTTTCCGGCGATAACTTTCCCCTGTACACAGGTAATAAAACCAGAAACCATGTGCTTATACGCCTCTAAGCTTTTGAAGGCTTTAAATTGTTGTGCAGTATAATAGCTCGTGTCTAAAACCAAATAAGATAGTAGATCTGAGGCTTCGATGGGAGGCAAACACTCTGGATCGAGCTTCGCGTGCCACAACGTGGCCGGATCAATACCAATCATTGATATTTTCTCAATATAACGACGCTTTACCCGGCTATCTAGCTTTTTCGAGTAGTCTGACAAAAGAGGAATAAGTGTTGAATCTTCTTCGTCTTTTTCTTCAAAGTTTTCTGTATTACATTCGTCGGCATTATCTTCAGACATGCTGTTGTAATCCTTCCCCACGCGATGCATCTGGTTCTGGCATGAGTTGAAACTTTCTCAATTTAACGTTGATCTTCGAAACATTTTACTTTAATTAGGTACTCTAACAATAGAGGAATGACATAGCAATCGTCTCCATAAGTTTCATATGGTTTTCTCTGACATACCTAATGATTTGATTGATTTTACATTGACCTATAGTTTGAGTCCCTACATCGCTGTGTATGTTGACATATGCTAATGAGCAAGCTGTACACCAACATGGCCGCCATGGTAATCCGATATGCTTATAACGTAAGGTGAAAACCGAGTATATTTTAATTTAGTAATCCGTTTGTTGACATTTAATCAGTAAGTGACCACGTGATTTACAGCCCATTGCGTAATCGCTTAAAGCTGACCTTTGAGTTAATGTGACATTTTGCCATAACACGCGCTCGAGAGCGATCAGTCCTTTTTCTACCTCGTTACCTGAAGTGTCCTGAGAGAATTTTGCTGACCTGTTTCTTGGTACTGGAGTTTTGATTAGATTGCGCCACAGAAGTGAGTAGTGTGTAATCAGTTGGAATTTTAGTATCATTTCGTTTTCCAGCATGAAATTATCAGGAATCGCTTGCTGTGAGATCGCTCAGAACTTATGTATTTTTTTTTTGTAGATCGAATAAAAACCAGTTAAAAGGATTATACGATTCCGTGTCCAATCAATTACTTCATTTACATCAATTACGGCCATTTTCCTCCACGATCCAATTGGTGATCGTTTCCTTTAATCTTGTGACCTTAATGATAGCTTCAGGGGTGACTGTGAGGAAAAATTAGAAGTGAGACATTCTTAGTGATTTTAAGGGTTAAGGATTCATCAATTCTTTCTATAGATGATGGTGACGTTTATACTTTTCCCGGAGGACACCTACTCGTAAACAGACGAGAAGAGGTCTTGACAGCTTCATATATACCAAGTAAGAAATTGCACCAAGCTTTTTTTTCCTGAATTAAGTATACTCAAGGAAAACCAATTCTCAAAGTGTAATGAATAGCAATTGATTAGTGCAACTCGTGAACATGCAAGAAACATTAAAGGGTAGCAGGTTTTTCTGGATATTACAAGGTATCTTTAAATCATCTCTGCTGCAAAGCTTTAAGTCATCTTTTTTCTGAGAAGCTGACATTTGTCGACCAACACCTTAGTACTTTTTGAGGGTTAGATCTAATTAGTGAAAAATGTCTTTCGTTGAAGAATACTTTAATAAGATGGGCTCTTCTTGCTGACAGCCCCTCGACAATGCGACGCGATGAAGACTTCTATCATTAGTTTGGTTTAGGAGGTGAAATTTGATTTTTGATGACTAATTTTTTCAGAAGAAGGAAAAAAGCTTCGTAATCTCAGTCTGCAACCGGATAGAGAACGAGTGGTAGTCAGAGCAAACTTCAAAGATTCAGAACAACAAGCTGGACAATATTTCAGTGATCAGCAAAACTTCAATCCACAGCAAGGTACATATACGGTGATGTAGTTTTAAGTGATCACAATCAGTTTGATATGCATCTTTCTTTTTTTAAAGATTATAGTAATGTACCTAGAACAAAATAATTTGAAGATAACTTTAACTAATCTGAAATAATTTTGACCTGAAAAAATAAAAAAAAAAGGATAAGCTTTCAATTTACTGAGCCCTTGTTACAAGCCTGCAAGGCCTCTACAATATTAAAAGAGAGAGATACAAATGTTTTGAATAAATGAAAAGTGCTTGGAATTCCCAACTGGCAGGAGGCAGACCAGTTGATTATTAGTAATGCACAATGCAGCCGAGGAGTTAAACTCCAGTGAGTAGCAGGGTAGAGGACTTGAACTCGAGACCATTTTAGTATCTACTGAAACAACTATTTACCTCAATGTCGTTGGCTAACGGTGGATATTATCCTCGTCCCTGCGCGGTTCAGAAAATATCTATCATTAGCCAGCTCTGCTTCTGTGAATAGTTAATTATCAGCTTAGTTAAAATAACCAATTATCTTGTAATACCCCCCACTGAGGTAGTACTACTATTTTTTCAGAAACTTACCCCCTTTATTCATTTGGCACCGGGGTTCGTTTGCCTTAGTAGGTCAAGCTTAATTTTCAGTAACAGTGTCGTAAATCTGTTATTACTTGATAGATTCGTTCTTTGGTGGTTATGGTGAAAGGTCGTTATCAATTTCTCCACCTGGGAGTACTCTAGATTCAGTGCCTGGAAATGATGGTAGCAAAAAGCATGGAGCTGGAGATCATACAAATAAAAGAGAGAAGTGTAAATCCGATTCAGTGCACAAAAATAAGAATGGTAAGGGTTTCCTTCTAATCGAATTGTCATTCTGATGACTTGAAATTTAAAATCTTACAATTATCTTCAATCGTTCCACGTGGAAACAATGACTCCTTGGCTACAGGTAATTCAACTTTGCTTACCTGAAAGAAGTCAAAATTAAATTTCTATAACCTGCGAGCAGGTAATCGCTTCGGCCCAATCAATGCTTTGCTCGGGCGAAAATATAAAGCCTTGAGCAGCACGATTCAGTGAGAGGTCTGTAAAGGGTCTAGCACTAATAATTAGTGCCAGGTCCCCGGCAAACCTCACCCAGACTCGTCTCAAATCTTTCCAGGTGCAGAGAAACGCGCCTCTTGCAGCGCTACGATGATAATCGGAGCTTGTCCGAAGGCTAAATTTTTCAGAAGAAGTTATAGACTCAGAAATGGTGATACGCGTTCTCTGACTTACAGATAAAAGAGAGAGACTTACTGTAATCTTTGGATATCTTGTCCACAGGGATTTCTTTTGAAAATTATTTGACCAGCGGGGTGGAATTCTTTATTGTTTATGGTCATTTACATTGAGAGGGAAAGGAATTTCTTAGTCAGGCAATGATTCTCTTCATGCAGATTGCGTTACATCCACATCAATTTACAGCGAGGGAGCAACAAAAGAGGACACTGTAAAGCACTCAGCGAATCAGTGCGCATCTGCTGAAGGTCTGCACTTGGAATTTACCATCTGTTAATTTTATTTATAACTAAAGTGAAGAGGCTTTACCAAAATTAACAAAGTATTATCAGGTCCGATTTTCTAATTTTCTAAATTGCTTATTTTTCAAAAAGATTATTACAACTGGGAGTAGTCTAGATTCAGGATTTAGCAATAATGGAAGGGAAAAGCTTAGAGCTTGAGATTCTACAAATAAGGGAGAAAAGCGGAAATCAGATTCAGTAAACAAAGATAACGATGGGCAGGGCTCCTTCCAATTCTACGATCATTCCGATAACCGGCAATTTAAAAGGCTTTCAAACAAGCAATAAAGAATACAAAAAAAAAAAAAAACTCTTGGAAATGTTACAAAAACTGAAAGGTAACTTTAACATAGTGCTTCGCTCACAAAACCAGGCTGACCTAATCTTTTTTTTGCGATTGTTAAAGCGGCTAGTTTACCCAAGTTGAGGCAAATTTAGTGCATTCCGATTGTCCACACAATCGCAAAAATCAAGAGAAATGCTGAAAAGCCAAAGAAGGCTATAAATGAAAAGAATTGTGGAATAATAATCTGGATTGCCTTAATGTGAAGAACATCAGCTCAACTTGTTTCACCTCAATCAAATAGAAGCGTCATCCTTAATGTTCAGAAATCATCAATATTTGTTAATGAGTCAGGAGTTTGCCCATAAGACTGTCGCTACTCATTTAAATCGTAAGCGTTTTTAAATACCATTGTAGGCCCATTGAAATGTGGTTTCCCTACATATTTTTTTTTCCGTTGGTTGATAATAGTATGATTATTTTTCACAGCATCACGGTGCGAGTCAATGGCTTCTCCTTTGGAATTCTGCAAAGAGCAAATGAACTACTACAAGATTTGTTACGTTGTCACTGATGTACTAACTGAAGGCCTACGGGCAATCTTTAAGAGAGAATGGGACAAGCGCTTCAAGGAAACCCTGGGAGAATGGAAAGATGAACCCAAAAATGGGATTGACTTTCGGAACAGTGAATCCCCCCAAAAGATGCGCAGAAACGCCCGTCTTTTGGCAACTATGCAAAATGGCGACAGAGCTGAATGGGATTGCTCCATGCTGTTTTATGCCATCCTTTTTTCTGATTGCATCTGCGGTCTCAATCCAACTGTTCGATCAAATGTGGATGATCTCAGAAGATTTCGCAATGAAGAATTCGCTCACATGTCACAAGGCCACCTTTCTGACGAAGATTTTCAAAATGCTATTTTAAAGATAAATACTGCATTTCACGTACTCGGTCTTCCCACTGAAAAAATCCGTGAAATCCAAACTCAGACAAGTTTCCCAACAGAAGAGTTAACAAATATTCGGAAGAAAGTTGACAACCTTCAACAAGAGGTTATAGAGAAGGAAGCAAAACTAGAAGAAAAAGAGAATCAACGACTGATCCTTGAAGAACAGTTGCAAACCGAAGTCTTCCCATTTTGTATTCTCCCTCCTGGACCTACACATGAAGTCGTCCCTCGCAGATCGGAGGTTGATAAAATCACACAACACCTCATAGAACTCAAAGATGAAAACAAAGACAGCTTAAGCACCTTGTACTTATCCGGAAACCCTGGAAGTGGAAAATCTGTGCTGGCCCGTTTAACAGCCAAGCGATTTTTCGACGAGAGCAAAGAAACTCCCTCTACGATTTCATTTGTCATGACGCTTAACGCAGAAAGTTCAGAAACACTTTTGGAATCGTATATCTCCTTCGCTCAACACTGCAAATGTGCGGAGTTCGCAGTTACAAACACTCGTTCTTCCAAAGATCTGAGCATAGACGAGAAAATTGTAAGTCTCAAGACCTTAGTAAGCACAAAAATTGGGCTTTACACGTCGTGGTTGCTGGTAGTTGATGATGTCACTAGTTTGTCTCGTGTACTTACTTATTTGCCAGGTCCAGGAAACCAACAATGGATGGGGGGCCAGTTACTCATAACAACACAAGATACCGAGTCTGTTCCTTCAACAAGCCCCTCCACTCAGCACATCTCAGTAAGTAAGGGGATGTTCCCTGATGATGCCAGTTCTTTGTTGAGGCTCCTTTCTGGTGTCACTGATGACAAGATGGAAAGAAAAATCGCACAGCGTTTGGACTACCAACCCCTTGCTTTGGCCAGTGCCGCCATCTACGTAAGACAATTTCAGAAAGGTAGCAGAGTTTCAAATTTTGGCTGGACCGACTTTCTGAATAAACTAGAAAAAGGACAGCGATACGCAACTGAGGTCATTCTAGCAGAGACAAACCCAGGTTACTCAAAAACAATGACCATGGCAATTCGACTCGTCTTGCAAAAGGTACTGACTTCCGACAGAGCTTTAGATCACCTGTTCACTTTTCTCTCTCTTTGTGCGCCACAGCCTATACTAAAAGATATTGTCGTCGACTACATTATGGAAATGGAAAAGGAATTTGAAGATAAAGATGAGATTGAGGTAAAGATAAGTCGATGCCCATTGCTGTTGTTAGAGGAAGAGGAGAGTTGTGTCTACATTAAAGTGCATGGAGTCGTCCATTACGTTGTTAATTCAGTAACAAGGAATTCTGCAAGGGATAAGCGAATCAAATCCGTTCTAGGGGCTCTTTCATCCTTCTGCAGATTCCAGGATCAAGATTCTCTATTCATTGGCACGAAAATTGTTCCGCATTTGGCAGAAGTGATTAGAGACGCCGAACGTTTGTTTTCTAAAGAAGGAATACCTGAAGTCGCTCAAATTGGTGAATTGAATCTATGGCACTATTCTAATGTCTTTACCACCCTGGGAAGAATGTGCTACAACCACTCTCAATATCAGGCTGCAAAAAGCTACTTTGGAGCAGTCCTAACCATCATCAAGTTAAGAGACCCAAGTAATGAATTAGAAAAAACAAATATTTATAATCACTTGGGTCTTGTCCACCGGCAGCTAGGTAACCTAGAGCAGGCGAAAGACTTTCACAAGCGAGCGCTGGATGTTCTTCTGGAAAAGCTCGGACCTGAGCATGTTGATGTCGCAACGTCTTTCAATAACCTGGGCCTTGTCCACTGGAAGCTGAGTGACCTAAAGCAGGCAGAAGACTTAATCAAGCGAGCACTGGATATTCGGCTGAAAAAGCTCGGCCCTGAGCATATTTCTGTTTCAACGATTTACAATAACCTGAGCCTTGTCTACCGGCAACTGGGTGACCTAAAGCAAGCAAAGGACTGTCACGAGCGAGCGCTGGACATTCGGCTGAAAAGGCTCGGACCTGAGCATGTTGAGGTCGCATCGTCTTATAGTAACCTGGGCCTTGTCTACCGGCAGCAGGGTGACCTGAAGCAGGCAAAGGACTGTCACGAGCGAGCACTGAATATTCAGCTGAAAAAGCTTGGCCCTGAGCACGTGGATGTCGCAATGTCCAACAATAACCTGGGCCTTGTCCAACGGCAGCTGGGTGACCTACAGCAGGCGAGAGACTTTCACAAGCGAGCGCTGGATATTCAACTGAAAAAGCTCGGACCTGGGCATGTGGATGTCGCAATGTCTTACAATAACTTGGCCTTTGTCCACCGGCAGCTGGGTGACCTACAGCGGGCAAAAGACTTTCACGAGCGAGCGCTGGATATTCAGCTGGGAAAGCTCGGCCCTGAACATGTTTCTGTTTCAACGTCTTACAAAAACCTGGGCCTTGTCTACCGGCAGCTGGGTGACCTAAAGCAGGCAAGAGACTTTCACAAGCGAGCGCTGGATATTGAGCTGAAAAAGCTCGGACCTGAGCATGTGGATGTCGCGGTGTCTTACAATAACCTTGGCCTTGTCCTCTGGCAGCTGGGTGACCTAAGGCAGGCAAAAGACTTAATCGAGCAAGCGCTGGACATTTGGCTGAAAAAACTCGGCCCGAAGCACGTTTATCTCGCAACCTCTTACAGTAACCTGGGTGCTGTCCTCGAGCAGCTTGGTGACCTGCAGCAAGCGAAAGACTGTCACGAGCGAGCATTGGATGTTTTGCTGAAAAAGCTAGGCCCTAAGCATGTTGACGTCGCAAGGTCTTACAATAACCTGGGTCTTGTCCTCGTGCAGCTGGGCGACCTCAAGAGGGCAAAAGACTGTCATGAACGAGCAGTGGATGTTTGGCTGAAAACGCTCGACCCTGAACATGTTGATGCCGCAACGTCTTACAATAACCTGGGCGCTGTCCTCGAGCAGCTTGGTGACCTACAGCAGGCTAAGCACTGTCACGAGCGAGCGCTGGATATTCGGCAGAAAAAGTTGACCTGAGCATGTTGATTTCGCAACTTCTTACACCTATTTGAAAGATGTTCAGGATGCATTTGATCAGCTACAGTAGACAAGACAGAGGGTACGCCGGGAGTCCTAAAACATTGCATGAAACAAAGAAAGGTTCGCGATTTTAACTTTGACAATATTCTGACAGGTTAGATCTTGATCCTGAACGTGTTTAAGTAACGGATTTGAGAATAATGTGGCTCGGCTGCATCAAATAAGGGTAGAAGTAAAGCGTTCCAGAGCTGTTCGTAAAACGAAAAAGAGACAGCTTAGAACTGAACATTAGTTACCCATCAGACAAGGTGCGTTACACTGGAATGATCCAGATCAGGATCACTGCTTCGAGATCACTCGGATCATGTTGCACCATAGGAAAGGAACGATATCTGGGCGCGTAGGATCAGCTACCATGACAATAATAGAGGAATTTACAGATGGTTCAGCAAGTAAGAGCGAGCGGTTCCGAACGTGATGGAGTTCTATTTTTTTCCTGCTAATAAACAGCAAGGAAAAAAAAACTGATGTCCTTACGAAATCCATTAGAAGACATCCTTAACGCAATACGTCCTTACAACAAACAAGCAAATTACACCCAGCTTTGATAATAAAACAAAGTTTTGGAATATTCCTGGGTACAAGCCACTTCTCCAATTTTCTGATAATTTCAGTCATTACAGGCAGGAGCAAGGCTAAATTACGAGTACTTACTATAACAAAATCGAATACGTTGCAAGATCTGAGCGTGCGGGGAAAATTGACAGATACGCAGTTCTTGTCATAGATATTGCGATATTCTAAGCAAAAACCACTGTGCACAGTGACTAATTGTCGGATCTGTTGCCCAATGGAACGAAACGGATCACTGATCCGATGCTCTGTTTTCAGATCACTCGGATCACATATCCGTTGAATCCTTATCCAGAGTGGTTTCAGTGGATCAGTGATCTCAAAACGGATCCATAGGAACGCTACTGACCAGAAGTCCTTCTCTGGATCGCTTCAAAGGATGTACCCTGAATAATAACTTCTTTCTTTTTTCGCGAACCAGGCTTGTTAATCTAGTCCAATGAAGATAAAATCGGAATTGAGAATTTTTACATTGTCACCAGTAGATAATTTATTGCATATTCGCAAGGATTACGTTCAGCGTCGTTACAGTTTGGCTCATAATGAGTCAGCGAATTTGAGGAAAACAATTAATAGCGCCTATTAGACAGTCTTTCAGCCATTAACAGTACAGACATGTGCTACGTAATGACGTGCTACTATGTCAAAACTCGTTTTTAAGGTAGTTATCTAATTACATGATAAGGAAACATCGCGTGTGATCGCTGAAAAAGTCATGTAAATGTTTTCGATTAATTTTAGACCTTTCGTAGGATGGTTTCTCTGAAACCAATGAAGATCAAGTTTTAACTTTTTCTGATGTTTCTGATGTTTACTTAACTTTAAATTTGAGTCGTGCATTTAACACTTGAACATTATATTCAAGGCCATTATCTGCATAGCGCGAAAACGTCAGTTGTGACCCCAGAAAATGTCATCTGTAATTTTTTTACTATGATTTTTAGACCTCTTTCGGAGGATGGTTTCCCGGAAACCAAGTAGTTCAAAGCATTGTTATCATACTTTTTAAGCATGAAGAACAAAGTTATTCTTCTCACTTTTAAAATTATCCATGCCTCATCTAATCATAAACAGGCGTTGTCGTGAGTGTCCATGAGTTATTGCGTTTTGTAGAAGTCAACTACTTTTAACATACCTATAACTAGGTCGGCTTTTCAATAAAGCAGGGACGAAATGACATGAGTGTTCTTCATTTACTTGTTTTCGGTGGTTGAAGCTTTTCTCGTTGTATCGTTTAATGCAAAGCAACCACAGTGTTTTCTCTAGTTTAATAACGATCGAAGAACCAACCCGGTTCTTCTGATACATCGATGACATTTCTTTGGCGTTAACTAACTTCACTGACCTCTGAGAAAATTGGTATGTCCAGGAGAACTCAGCATAAAATGGCAATGTTCCTTGCATCAGCTCACTTTTGTAGTGTTGTATATCCCAAACGGGATATAGTGGGGACTGTAAACAAGGGGAACTATCTCTTAAACTGAGCGAAGTGAATAACAATCTCCGTGAATCACGCTTCGTGTTACGAAATCTCGGAAAACCTTAAGAGTTTTCGTTTTCGTGATAAAATTAACTGTAACGTCTCCAGTACCATACACAGTTTTGTTTACATCGTGACGTCGTGAAACATCGCTTTACGGTCCAATTTTAAAAACTCAGGCTAGCCCCACATTTTAGTCCCACATTTTTGTCTGTGACATTTATTGCTCTCGATACCCAGTTCACTTGGAGTATGGCACAGTAAAAGCTTCGCGTCAATAGCAGTTTGAAAGGCGTCGGAAGAAATGTGTGGAAGAAATCACAATTTAACGTCGAGCTGCATTGACTTATTTAGGAGGCTCGAAGACAAACATGTTATCATTACTGTGTAAATAAGAGGTATGTGCCTCTTGTTCGACCAGGAGTCTAAGGAAATTCGCAGCATCGACAAAATCTGGATCGGACCGGATCGAATCACGGACCGGATCACGGATTCCGAAGGTAGGTAAAACCACTGATACAATCCCTATCATAGTAAAGTTGGTATTTCCGGGAAAAAAAAAGGGTTGCTCTACTAGGAAATGTGAAAGGGGCTCTTCTCATCTAAAGTTCACTTCATGCTCCCCCCCCTCATTCAGGTTGTAAAAATTTCTCACCCGTTTAAGATTTATTTAAGCTTTAGAGAATAAAATAAGCACAGTTAAGAAGATGGAATAACTTTGACGGCGAGATAAAAAAAAAGAAATTCCTCCAAAATTCTTGCCGATGTTTTCGACTTGAAGTAACCTTGTTGAAACCGCGCAGTGCATTTTCAAATTTTTCCTGCAGGTGATCAAGTTAAAGCAAGCTAAAGGGGGTGAAAGTGGATCATGTGTCTCTTAGGGTATCTCGATCGATATATGAACCGATGCATTGGTCGATATATCGATCGTTACTCGATCGACACTCGAAGGACTAGACTACGAGCACTCCCTCCTTTTCAGCGATATCCTCCGCGCCAGTCCAAAAATTGATGAAAAAGAAATTGACGTTAGCGTGCCGCGGGAAGCTCTAATTTTACGTGGTGCGTAGGTCAAAATTGGAGCTTCCCGCAGCTTCCTAACGTCATTTGCTTTTTTCATAGAATCTTTTTCGACTCGTGCAGTAGATTTCTCAGAAAAGGAGGATCTGTTCGTAGTCCCGTTAAGCCCCCTAGATCAAAATTTTTATCCGAAAAGCTTTGTCCACAAATGTTTGATCGCTTGGTCGACGATGAAAGAAAATGCTTGCAGCCGAGGACAGGCAGGAAGTTGCAAATCTTACCACGAGTCACCCTGACGCAAAAGTTCCCGCGATCACCAACAAAGTCATAGCCCTCATATCTTTCTATAGCTATGTCGAATTTAGACATGCTGGAAGGTTTCTCAATCGAAAACGGTGTGTAAGGACCAACATACGAAATAAGGAAAACCCAGCACCGTTACAGGCGGAAGTAGACAGAAGTCCGGGATTGATAGGTGGTCAGTAGAAAAACACCAAACTGAGTAATTCACTCAAAGGTTTATGTAGCATGAAATGTAGCATGACAATGTTCCTCGCACGTTCTACTCTTCAAAAAAAATATAATGAAAGCTGCACCGCTTACCGCCCCATATCCTGAGTTTCTTGTGGAGGGGAGGGGAGGGAAGGGGCAGGCAGCTGATCCAGACGCAGACCTCTCCACGCCCAAATAAAGGAACGCCTAAGAAATAAGATTGGCATATTTTTGCTTCCAAATGGGTGTCCTCGCCACCTCAAGTCTTTTTTTCTTCACATTTGTAACTTGATAATTTATTTTCTGGAATATGAATAAAGCAATATCCATAGAAACGGAAAAAGTGCGCTCTCTACTTTCAGTTGCGCTAGTAGGCTTCCCAAACTGATGAAAGTAAAAAATATTCTTCTAAGTAAGATTCGAACTGAGATTTGATAAACTCATTCAATAAATTTTATGGTAAATAACTCAGAATTATGATAGTATGTAAATTTAATGTCGGTTCCCATGACATCATTTGCAGGGATGGAGTGCTTCGATTTTAAAATATGACATTTCTTATCGGCATGAGACTGATCCAGAGCGAAAAAATGTACATTGCATTTGCAAAGTCTATTTCGCCACGTGTGGCTAGAGCGAAATATGTACCCAGCAACTACTGGAAATTTTCGAAGATTCCTTGTGGCGCAGATCATTTATTAAACTAAAATAAGCCACTGACTACCGAAATTAGCTTAAACTATAACATCGATCATGCAAGACCGCAACCGGCGGCCGATTACATATCTTACCTTCATTTGGCACAATGACCATGGTAGCATGATCGCTATTAATTATTATTATCACATTCGAACATTTTCCTTTTGTTACGTCGAACTTGGACATACTAGAAATAAACTCCACCTGTAAATATTTCTGGTGCATGCGTCTAGGATGTCGACAGAACACGGAAGACATCCGGAAGTGATGACATGGTTTTTTTGTGGTCAGCGGGCTGCACTGATTGGAATCAATGTTATTGCGTCGCATTCTTATTTTCAAAATATAGTACAGCGAAGCGTTTGTTTGTTGGCTTGTTTTGTTTGTTTTTTGATTTTTTTAAAGTAATTAACAAATTATTTCCAGGCTTAAACCGTAATTACGCTGGATGCAAATCTCTGTGCTTACGGTTGATCTCAGATGAGAAAGGGCGTGGCGAAGAAATGGGTGGAGGAGTCTCAGAGTTTGAATGCCCCTTTTTTATCTTATCTTAGAAGTAATAACGTTTAGATAAAAATGCAAAAAAAAAAAAGAGAACTCGGCCATGTCCAGCCATCTTGACCTCTCTCTTGGTTAACAACTCACATACATTGAAAATTTATTCCATGAGTAC